CGCAGGCGCCAAACTTGGTAGACTCGACCTATGTATGTATTAGAGTGCCACCGTAAGCTGTAGCACAGCTGCGACCCAGAATATAGCCATGGGATTATCACTACACCGCACATATTATGGCCTTTTAGACGATGGCGCGCGCGCCCAACCCCATGGTCTTCAGACCTGAAACTTGGCAGTCTTAATCTCACCCCCCTTCTCCCAAATCGTGCCAACGCACACCCTCCCTCGAGCCAAAATGCAGTCGCGGGAATCGTCCATAGCTTGATTAACTGAGATTGCTGGGTTTTACGTAGTGCTTGTTAGGGGTATGGCGCGGCGCTGCGCCGCGGTCGCCGCCTGGATAATTCCGCGGGGTTTAAAGACGGGTCGGCGGGACGAGTCCGCGCGTCGCTCCGCCTGGCTTCGGCGCCTTTGTCGCCTCCGGCGCCTTTGGCCTTCGGAAGTCCTTCGGTGCGCGGCGGCTCTTTTTTTCTTTTTTCCTGGCCAATCAAAGATTACCTGTCGGCGGCGGGGTTCGCCAAATGGCGACCTCGAAACGGAAACAAAAACAGGCAGTGCGACAGGGAATAACCGATTCGCAACCAGAAATCGAGTATGTAGCGCCGGACCCAAACACAAGGATCACGTGGCCGCGGCACTTAGCAGGAGGCGTTGACGACAGAGCCTTCTCGGTTATATGGCCAAATAACATAAATTCAAAAAAGTTTATATCCCAGGGCCGGCGCATCAGCGTGGAACACGCATGTGAGGACCCAATTGTTCAGGAGATGTCTGAAGTCTGCCAGTATTTGAACCTGACCCACGTAATCGAGCCGTACAAGTCACTGCCGAGAGATGTTGCAGCGTATCCCGGCCGGATCCGAGTTCAGCTCGCCTTGGACGGAGATGGAGGCCGCGTAAATATTGAGTCGCGAATTGCATTGATGCGTAAGATGGGAGAATTGATTCCAAAGCTCAATATTCGGAAACACCGAATTGCAATGGAGCAGCGCGATCTCGACGCTCAGAAACAGCAGTTTGATCTTGCGAGTGGCACAAAGATGAACTCGAAGAAGAAGGGTAAGAGGGGGCGCCGATAGTACATATTCATGCTGTGCTCGATTCCCGGTTATCAGTATTTATGGAGGCACGCGCTGCCCCGGACGCGGTGAGGTTGGCGAGATAGTATAGTAAACTCCGGGGCAGGAAAGCAGCCTAGTGGGCGCCTAGCGAGCCTAGTGGGGCTGCCCTGCTGTGAGCGATGTCCAGATCAGGGGGGGCGGGGCACACCAAGTAGGTGATACGCGCCCCCCGTCCTTCGGCGCTTGCTCCTCCAAGGATAAATAGAGCGCCCTGGACGCGGTGGTGGTACCCGCTGGCTTCGGGGGGACGAACTTCGCGCGGTAGAGCCCAGCGCGTCGCGTTTTGGCGACCGCGCGCGGTCGTGCCAGAACGGCGAGCGGGTCGGGATCCAGTAGATCGACGGCGTTGGATACGGCCTCTGCGTCGCCTGGCGCTCTGGCTACGTGGTAGCAGAGATTGGCGCACGGCTGATTTTTCCGCGGCCGTCTATGATTTTTCCGCATCCGCTGAAAGTGCGCGGATTTTAGCCCTGGTTGAAGGCAAGGAGGCCTAAAGCGGGGCCCGGCTGTGAGCTCGGAGAGCCGGTTTCGGCGCGCGTCGTCGCTTCGTGCACGCCGCTCTGGGCTTTGGCGCTGGCGACGAGGCCCTGACACCCCTGGACGTCCTCGAAGCTGCTTTGAACGCGGATCTCGCGCGTGTCGACGAACGTCTGGCCGTTACAAGGGCGTCTACCGCCTGCGACAGTGCTTCGAGCGCCGCTCAGACGGCCCCAACGCTGCGCCAGGCGTAGCCCGTCGAGTGCGACGCTTGTCTGGTATCTCCTGGCGTGTCGGACCGCGACGCGGCGCCGCGGAGCGACCGGAATTGTTCGGGACCTTGTGAAAACGCTCCGGAACTACCGAAAGACGTCTTTGAGCGGCATCGGGTCGACGAACACGCCGGCCGTGCTGGTGTTTGACGTGTCAGGCAGCGACGACGCACCAATTGACTCGATCGGACGCGCAAACGCGGTCATCGAGGTCGACTGACGCCCCACAGGGCCCCGAGACCTGATTCGGCCGGTGCGGCCGGTGGACGCGGGCGGGCCATGGGGACGCGCCACGGGTCACCATGGCGTCGCTGTGGCGCGTTTTGAGCTTCGGGCGTCTACACTAGACTAGTGGGGCCCATGGGCGCCAGGGGCGCCGCCGGGCCTGGTCAGTTTTCTACATGAGGGATGCTGCCCCCCCTGATCTGGACATCGCTCCTGTCCGAGGGTGAACTATCGAAGCTGCGCAGTGGCGGTGCACCGGCGACTCTGTTATCCTCGCGGGGCCTCAGCTGCCGTAGTATACGGAGGCTATACGGGGCCGGGGCTACTGGACGAACGGGCAGAGAACCTGCCCTACTAGGTCCAGGAAGGCTCAGGCTCTCCGCACTATAGGAGGATAGTCGCCCTTAAGTGCCCCTCGCCTGGCGCTCAGGCTATCAAAAGGAAGCGCCATCTTCCAAGGCCAAAAACAACCATAGGGCTAGAGCGCCCCATAGAAGTATTTATTTATTATTTCGGGCCGCCAGCCGTAGTATGTCATAGAGGCCCTCTGTCGACCGCGCGCGCGGGTTGACCGCCGAACTGAAATGTTGCCAAAATTGTTGATCTATGGCCCCCGCCAGGCGAGCCCGCCGAGCTGACACGCTAATCGATTGAGACATTTTTCAGCGTGTGGAGTCGCCGGTTCGGGTTGGAGGTCGTAATTAAATGTTCAACAAAACGCTTACTTGAAGGGAAATATCACCCCAGAGTATTCGTTTTCAAATTTTGTTTTTGGCCTTGCCATCTTCCCGCATCTTCAACCTGCAACATTGCAGGTACCTCAATATGCCTCTTTTGTCCCAATAGTCGGTAATTTAGGGTACCCAACCCCCCTCGCCTCAGACGGGGACCCAGGGAACCCACGGCGCCCCCAGCAATTTGGGACCGGCGGCTGGGGGCTTTATTCAGGCGCCCGGGGGCCGGGCGGGCCCCAAACTAGAACGCGACGAATTTCCCGCGGGCTATATTCTCGCTGAATGTTCGCCTAGACTGCGGGTTTCTTTAACACAAATCCGCACTGTTCTAGTAAGCAGGGAAATAACGGAGACGTCCAGGGCGTGGGCTGGGCCCCGGGGATGTTCGTGGCCAGGCCAGGGAATTGTACGCAGGTGCTGTATACTCGCGCGACCGGTGGGCAACACCATTCAAACAAGATCTTGTTGTCCGAGAGAAGTCGGGGCAAAGTTTCCTGGCCACCCGATTTTCGGACATGGGGCGACGCCCCAGAGCCACTCGTTAAAAAATATCTCTGCAATAAAAATATTGAATGGCTTCGGACTCAGAGCCACTCGTTCCAGAGTCGTGCTTGAATCGTATTGCCCCCCGGTCGCGCGTGAATGCGCCCGTTTGCTTGACAAAACCAGTTTGCATTGCACTGATGCAGAATCTATTCTCGGGGACCATTTTCAACTCCAGATTTTAAGGAGTGTGTCCCACGATCCAGTACAAAGAGCCTCGCCAGTTGGGCACATCCCTAAACAGGAGACCCTATTGTCGTGGCCAGACAGCGTCCAATGTTGCGGAAAGTTCCTACATTGCTCAAGTTGTGGAGAAAACACGAGTGGTGTAAGGATGGACCGGAGGTTCGTTATGAGGCGCTGGAAAGTGCATGCCATCTTTAACAACATCCCAGCAGTAGGCATTAAAATCATCGTAGCCACCAAAAAGGATACGGCCTGAGCGCGAGAAGTCCACCGACGTGATACCGCACAAAATTTTCTCGGATTTGAATTTGTTTACACACATCAAGCAGCGAGTGTCAAAAAATTGACAGGTCGAATCGTCGGATCCTGTTCCAAACGCATGCCCATCTGGGAAAAATGCGACCGAATTTATGTCCGAGTCATGGCCCGTGAAGGTCATAGTTGGATGACTAGGAATACGTGAATCCCAAAGCTTCGCTGTCGAGTCGCACGAGCCAGTCACGAAGACCTTCGGGGAATGTGGATCAAGTGCAACACTCATGACATCACCAGTGTGATCTGTGAACTGCACAATATTTTCACTCCTCTCTATGTCCCAAAGAATGCACATTGAGTCGCCAGAGGTAGTCAAGATCTTGGATTCGTCCACGAAACGACAACATGAAAGATACCCGTCATGACCTGCAAGTTCTGAATTCGCACGCATTACCTGCGGCTGGTTTATTTTGTAAATCGAACATAAATTATCCAATCCACCACAGGCCACCATCTCATTTCTCGTCTGCTCAAATGCACAGGTCATCACCCAAGACGAGTGAAGTGGAATTGAGTGAGCCTTCATCATATTATGAGTGTTCCATATGATAAGTTTCCCATCTTGGGACGCGCTTACGAGGTCGTGCCTATTAATTATTTCGTTGGGAATTTATGCACAAAACTAAATTCCTACCCGTTCCCAGACCAGTGCACTGCGTACACTTTGCCAAAGTGTCCTTTGAGGGTGCGACGAACCCGCGGTTGAACTAACAGACTTGGGAGGGTACGGCTCATCGTGAAAGATCGACTGTCGTCGATGCGCATCTTTTCTTTTTGGAGTATTTGTTTCAACACCTCAACTTGCCCCTTGGCGGCCTCAATCTTTTGAGCGTAGGTCATCGTGGCTGAGCGGTGCGTCAAAACGAGCAGAGAACTTCCATGGAGACAGCTTCCACCCTGGACCGGGGGAAATAGTTGTGTCTACAGATTTCTTTCACTAAGTTTTAGGGCGCTTGTTAAGATGGAACCAAGTGATCGAGAAAGGCATGATGGAACCAATATTCATGCCTATGATGGAAACAGTCTAATGCGGGTTTGTCGACGCTACCTGAACCAATACCACTCAATGGGCACTTTGATCATCTCCATACCCTGGTGATAAAACACCCGCACGCCCATTACTTAGTGCGCGTAGAAAACTTTGAGTTTCTCAAACAGATGATACCAACAGTGCGTTTCCGTCCACTTGGCCTTTCGTATCTCCCACTAGCCTGAGCTAAAGGAAGCAGAGTAAACTCCTCCCTCAAGGAGGAGACTGAGCTCAGTTCAGTTAAGAGTGCCCGAATGGAGGCCGACGGACCGCGCTTAGCCACCGCCGTCGACCGTCGGATGGCCTTCCTCTTGGCCTTTCCCGACATGCTGGAACAACGCCCCGAGCAGCGATTTCGAATGCGCTACGCAGCACACACCTAGCCACTAACCCAATGGACCGAGCAACGACAAAAGATCACTCAGCAAGGGACGCCACGCGCGAAACTGCAACCCGCGATGCAGTACCCACAGCCGCAGCGACATAACACCTCCGCCCTTGCGCGCGGCACTTCCGAGGCGATATTGGCGACGCTAAGCGGCAGGCAGGAGCGTTGTAACACAAACAACAATTGCGCCGGCTCAATAGGCCGCGGCGCAGCAGTGCACGCGCACAGGAACGGCCATACCCTCAAATAAATGAAAAGTCGCACAAATTAGCCTAGGCTAGGTTCTACATGGGTCGACCGTGAACGGAGCCGGGCTGCCACGCACGCGCGCACAATGATGGACATAAAAACTGGGGGGGCGCGCGGGGAATCCCTTCGCGACACTATACCTTCGCGATTCCCCGCGCACCACCCATTTTCTTTTGCACCAGGACCGACATATCGCCCCTCAGTCGATGCGTCGAAATGGCCCGGATCCAGAGGCCCCGTTCGCCCCGAAATCGTGCTCGCCTCCGGAGATCGAGAGGGCTAGAAGGCCGCCGGGGCGCTAGCCGAACGCGGCCGTCAAAGTCGGGCGCTGCCCTTGGATCATCGGGAAAAAGTGTGCTGGTTCAGCTAGAGATGCCGTGTCCTCTGGTCTTTACCTTAACGGCATCCTGGACGCGAGCCAGTCTTATGCTGCTGGGAACAAAACATCTAAAGAGTTTCCAGTTTAATATTGGCATACCGAAATATGCCAACTCTTGCTAAAGTTTTGCGCGAGCTGAAGGTTAGGCTAGGTTGAGCAATGACCGTAAATTGCTCAATATTTGCTAGGTTGAGGATGCACTGCTTTATCTAGATCAAGTCAAGATGGCGTTTGGAGACAAGCCAGAAATATACAACGAATTTTTAGACATAATGAAGAACTTCAAAGCACAAGAAATCGACACGCCCGGCGTGATTCAGCAAGTGTCACACCTGTTTCACGGCTACAGCAAGCTCATACTTGGGTTTAATACATTTCTTCCAGATGGCTACAAAATTGAACTTCCTATTGAAGGGGACAGCTCAGCAATGACAGTGATAACTCCCTCTGGGGTCTCGGCATCTATTGTGAGCGAAGTGACCTGAAAATAATCTAGAACATCTGAATGCTAGGCGGGCGCTCCTCTTGCGCCGAGCAAGTTAGAGAAAACTCATAAGATTGGAGGTGCACCTTATTTATGCACTCCTCGTATCAAACCTTACAGGCGGCGATGTCAAAGTTACAGAGGTGCTCAAAGCTACTTGCAATGAAAATGTGAAGATGTCATTTGCTGTAGGTGACGGTACGGCCTGATGTTGTGAAAGTCTGTGCGATGATATTTATCCTTCTCGAAAAAAACAACTAGCGTGATTGGCTTGATTGGCGTGATTGTCAGGAAGTGTAGGCGGGTGCTCCGGTTGAGTTTGATCACGCGATAACATATGCGCTGCACACTGTATTGATTTTTTCTTTTCACTGCAACTCTTCTCTTGAGCTGCATATTTTCAACAGGTAACGACAATTAAGAAACGTTTCGCACATGAGCCAGAGACATACAAAGCCTTCCTCGAGATCCTGCACACGTATCAAAAAGAGCAACGTTCAATAAAGGATGTTTTGGAGCAAGTCTCTCAGCTCTTTGCAGATCACCCTGATCTTCTCAAAGAATTCACTTACTTTCTACCAGATGCGGTCCAAGAACAAGCAAAGGTCAGTAAAACGATATCAAGACACAAAGATTTCTATCCGGCTGTCTCACAGGAGCGCCTTTCGCGCGCTGCGAGAGAGTCCGAGCTGCGCCGTGCAAGACACAGAGGGCTCAACACAAGCACCGACTATCTCACTGACAGCGCCAATATTGGACATCCGAGATTAAGCAAAGGCCGGCGGTCTCTTAACAATAGTTCATTGAGGACTTCGGGCGATTCAGTTGGTGGGGTCCAATGCTTTGGACCGAGGGTCTGCGATGCCATTGACCAATTGCCAGCGTGCCAAGTGGATTCTGTACTCAACAAAAAGAGTCCGGTGCCAGCTACGGTCCTCGACGATCGTCTCGCATCTGATGTCAGGTTCTTATGTGATTCAGCGGCAGCTACACTTCAAAATCAACCCATAACTAGGTCACATTGCGCTTTATATGCTTTGGAGCGGCGGTGCTTTGAGCGTATTAAGGAATCGTTCTGACCACAGCGTGCAATCAATAAACTTAGGTGTATATAATTAGTTCTATAAAATGTAGGTTTGCACTAACGCCCGGTTCTTTGGTTGGAGTTCGAGACGACTGGGCTGAATTTCTCAAGTGTCTTGATTTATACTCTCAGAATCTTCTGCATCGATCCGAAATGATTCAACTTTCTGCTGCATTATTTCGATCTCATGGATTATCAGAGGAAGTTCTTGATGCCTTCAAGAAGTTGCTTCAATATCAAGGCAGTGAGTGTCGCAGCTTGAACGATCAGCAGATTGGCGTCAGCCATAAACGTTTTATGAGTGCAAAGCTCGAAACGTACCCATGTATCCAAGAAAGAGCCTCTTTTCTTTGGGCTTCGACACCACTCCACGAGATTGACTTTTCACGTTGCAAGCATGGCACTCCATCATATCGTGCCTTGCCAACCTCTATGTCCCACCCTAGATGCGGTGGGCGCTCAGATCTTGACCAGAATGTGCTCAATGATGTGTGGGTTTCGCAGCCGGTGGGTTCCGAGGAAACGAACTCCTTCAAACATGTGCGAAAGAATGTCTATGAAGAAGAGCTCTTCAAGTGCGAAGATGAGCGCTTCGAGCTTGATATGATCACGGACTCTAATGCGGCCGCCATTGCATCTCTCGAGCTGATCAATACTGCGGTTCAACAAAGCCTCCGCTCAACAGTTCGAAGCACCTTTACAGCAATTGCAGATGCAAAGAAGGTTAGTCCTCCTTGCAAAGATGAAAATATCATCAATGATTCTATGAGTCTGGTCGGCTTTGCTATTGATTCTGTAGCGTTGTATGCTACCCACCTAAATGCCATATTGCGTGTCTATGGCGAGCACGGTACACCGTAGCCGTGTCGCAATATATCCCCACATTTACCGACCCAGAGAAAAATTTGCTGTTACACAAAAGTGCCTATTTCACAGGGGCCGAGCTTCTGGAGCTCATGTACAAAAGTCCACAAGCTGTCCTCCCAATGGTCTTGAAACGCCTCAAACAGAAGGGCATGGAGTGGTGCAAGAAGAAAGAGAGCATATCCGCTAGCTGGAAAGAGCAGCTGAGTCAAAATATTGTCCACGCGGCAGACCATCGTTCTTTTCATTCACATCAAAAGGAGCAGAAGTCTGTTCTGCCACGCCATCTAGTGCAGGACTTGATTGATGTCAATAGCAGTCAGATCGAACGAAACACTATGCACTCAACTGAATCAAGCAGTGATAATTCGGAAATGCTCCTCCACTTGGGTCATAACGCTAATGCTATACACCTCACGTTATTTCACCTTATCTATGACGTGCTTGAACAGTCATTAATGTCGCGAGTCGACAAAAATCGAGTTTTGATATTTTGGCGACACTTCTTTGCCCGATTTCTCGATATAACAAGGGAAGAGAATGTGATTGATTTTGCACTTGGTAGACGTGAAATGCAGACCATCGCTTCCGTTACGGATGCAGCTATTTGTTTGAATTGCAGTGATTCACGTAAATCTTCAAACGAGGAAAACTTGAATTCCAATCCTTTGATTCTGCTCGGCGAGCTATCGTCTCGCAACCGCGCCCCAACCTGTCTGCATTGCGTTTGCCGAGTCTTTCTCTTGTGTTCACAGGCGAGCTGAGCTTCGTGTTGCGCGTGAAGTGTAAAACAATTCATTTTTTATTTTTTTATATAATTTAATTTGAAAAAAAGATCATCATTTTAGGCATGCGTTGATGATGATGGACGTGCACGAAACTTTTCCTCGAAGGCTTCAGGTGGCAGACAGGGCGGACAGGACGTAGACACAGAGCAGTCCAGCACAAATGGGTGAGCTTGTGCGAGCACAAATGAGTGGCAGTATACTTCCCGTATAGAACTGTAACATAGGTCACTGGTTAGTACGCAACACGTTTACATATTCTTTCGTCTATATCATCAACTATTTCAACGCTTTGATGCGGCTCACGGCTTGTGTTTTCACGGTGATTTTGTGCTTGCTTCCGGAACCCGAGTCAACGATTGTATGCTCCAGAACGATAACCTAAAAACTCAGAAGAACCGATTTGAAGCATTTGTTTCCATGGTCTATGGCCTAGTAGATGGCTCGCTGGATGCCTTTCAGTATGAGGATGGTTGCCGATGTATGCTCGGCCGTAAAGCTTATGAAGTCTTCTCGGTAGACAAACTGATAGTGCGAGTCTTAAAGCAGCTTCAGCTTGTTGTGAATGACGTCACGAGTTGCAAGCTACTTGCTCTGTGGCAGCTTGGTGAAGAACAGAGATCTGCCCCCAACCTGATCAAAACTGCACCTATGACTTCGCCACATGATTCTCCTGCGACAGCCAACTCTAACTCGCCAACAGGGCAAATCCTGTCATCATGTCCCGAAGCTAGTGCTAGACGCCTTCTCAAAAGCTGTAGTACGGTATGGTCCAGCTTTGTCCCAAATTTATCCTTTTAGATATATTATGGGGTCCGAATCAGGTACACTCTCCGCTCTATACCATTCGATACACGCCACGAGACTGTGAGACTGCGAAGGGACGACATGCGTTCATTATCAAGCTGTCACAAGGGGCGGATGATAATGAATTTTCACATTAACAGGGGTTGAATGACAAAGCCAACGAAGGTGGTCCAAAACGCCAGGGCACCTTCACACGAGCTCGATAGAAAATCTATTGTGGACGCGGGGAATCTCGATTATCATGACCGAGTCCATGTGGCCGGCTTGTTTTTGTTACTCTTAATTGGCTTAACTGGCTTAAATGCAGAAAATGGTCCCGAATCCTGCCAGGGCTATGAGGTGTACGTGAAGTAATTGCACCCCCCCCCCCCCCCCACACACACACACACCACCCGTTTTTGGCTCGCTGCCACCACCTGCCAAGCCCTTGGTCACGGGTCCATGGCAGGCCCGCGGTGCTCATGCGCGGCGCTAGTGGACGCGGGGTTATTGGAAACTTCTGTCCCGGGAGCCTGTTCGGGGCCTCAGGGGGAGCACGAGTCGAACGGGAAATTCGACGCGTTCTAGTTTTGGGCCCGCCCGGGCCCCCGGCGCCGGAATAAAGCCCCCAGCCGCCGGCCCAAAATTCCCGGGGGCGTTTCGGGTTCCCTCGGGCCCCGCCCGAAGCAAGGTTCTTAGAGAGTTTTCTCTAGTTAGAGGAATATGAGAGTATCCCTAGTTCCCAGGGGGAGCACGGCCGCGTAGCGGCCGTACCACGTACGTCGGTGAAGGGTCTGTTTTCGGAGCCCCGGAGGTGGGAGGCGCGTCCGCAGGAGCTTTTTGTCAAGGTATACTTCTCTTACTAGCTTGGGGTTCACAGTGCAGTGGATATGTGCTATCTTAGTTGCTCACTTGTGTCTTTTGTACGAGGATACGCGGATGCGGTATCCTCTTCTTTCTTTCTCTTCCACACTTTTAGTGACCGAGGAGTCTGGGGGTTGCATAGGCAGCTCACCGCTTAGTGTTGCTAACCAAAACCGAAAAACACACGGACGACACTCGCACTACACGCACGAAACGCGCACGCGAATTTACAAACAAACCCCGCGAAGAACAAAGCCCCCAACGTCGCGCATGGCCGATATAAGAGGAGCCTGGTACGATGGTGGCTTCAAAATTCCACCAGGGGGAGTCGCATACCCCAGCAGACCGGGCGGCGATGCCAGACTGAGCCAACTTCCGACGCTACTAGGTGGCGACGACTCCAACATTAGAAAGGAATTTCCATCATGGAACAGAAGTTGTTCAAGCAAACATGAACGCGAAAAATTTATCGCAATTGTATACACATGATGAATATGATCAATGACACTCAGCATAGAGACACCTTCAGTCCATTCTTCATGTCCACAAACAGTGCCACATCAACATCAGTAGCACAGAAAAGGCATCATTTTGATATGAAGAAACAAGAAGCTTATGTGAATTTACTGACATGCCTTCAAACCAAGCAAAGTGCGACACTGATCACACTTGTGGAAAGTAAGACTCTTATGGAACAGAATGGTGTTCATGTTGCCGATGGCGATCTTCTTCGAAAGTTCCAAGGTGGTTTTCTACCCCTTCGTCGCGATGCCGGGAATGGCGGGTATTCTCAGCACCCATTCAAGATTGGGAAGGGAGACGTGGTCGAGCCCTTCCGCGACCAGCCTTGTAACCCCCCCGCCGCCCCGGGTTGGGCTTCCATTACCGTGAGATTGCCAGAAAACCATGCCCAGTGAACACTAACCGGTCGCCCGACCTCCGGACTAGGAATGTCACTTCATGACATTCGGCTAGGCCTTCCATACAATGAGGTGATTACGCTTGACTAGAGCAGTGCCGGAAACAAACCCTTGAACGCGCGAGCCCCAAACTTTGTAGGCTTCATCTCTCATAAGGTTAAAGTGCCTGTGTGAGCTCTAGCTGTGTATCGGGCCAAAATGTAGTCCCGGTGATCGGTCCATCGCATCAAACGAATGCATGTCTCGGCAGCAATGCCATGACTTAAATCTGGCTCGCAGCTGTGCTACAGCTTACGGTAGCACTCTAATACACACATAGGTCGCGTCCACAAAGTTTGGGGCTCGCGCGCGACGATCGCGGCGATGCGATCCCTCACCCTCATAACACCGCACACATTATGGTCTTTTAGACGATGGGCGCGCGCGCCCAACCCCATGGTCTTCAGACTTGAAACGTGGCAGAAAGTATCGCACAAGCACCACGGACCGGGGCGTCCCCGCGAAGACCCGCATGGGCAACGCGCAGCTGCAACAGCAGGCGCCTAATGTTGTGCCATAAGCATATCGGGAAGAATTGATGGTCTTAGTTAGGGTATGCTAGACCCGCGCGCGCGCGCGCGCGCGGCAATTTTTCAGGAGGTGTAGTACACGTCCCTCCGGCCGCTGGCCGGATTTAATTAATTAATATTATTTTCTTATTTCGTACGGGCCGGCCTAGGCGTCGGTTGTTTCCGGCACTGGACTAGAGGGCTACAGTAGTTCTGGCGTCTTGGGATTGCCGTTACTATTGCAATGGGTCAAACGGATTATGTGGCGGTTGTTCTTGATCGACTTGAACAACTTTGTGACGGTTATATGATCAAAGCTCGAGAGCTTGCTTCTGGAAATACGTTCCGACTTCACGAGCAATTAGAGCACACGCGAAAGAAACTGCGCCGAACCGACGACGCCCCTGTCCGCGCTCCGTTAGCTGAAATTCATGTTGCACCGACTCCGTGTTTATCCAAGATCATAGAATCGCCTCAACATCCGGTGATCGATACCACGGCGT